CATTGAGGTAGCATGGCCCTTGGCAGCTTCCCTAAAAAATACTATGCTTGTTAATCAAATAGATTTTTGACAGCATTCTGGTTTTCATTTCAAGTTGTAGTTATTTATCTGTCAAATTGAGTGTACAACAGAGTATGTTTATGGATGATTATTAATGCAACCCAGAATACTACTCTCGAGTATCTAGACAAGAGAGATAAGCTTAAAGTTTACAGGAGGAAACACAAAAGGGAAAATTAGTCATTGAGTTTATCCTTTTATGTCTTTTATTTATTTTATTTAGTTTTTTTATTCACTTAGGGGCGTAAGTAGTAATTTTTAGAGTTTTTATGTTTTTTTATTCACTTAAAGTCTTTTATGATAAAGGGGCCCTTTAAAAGGGCCATGATTAGATTGAATGGATGGCTAGGATTAAGTCTTGTTTAGGATTTTCTTATATAAGGGATGTACTCAAGTATAGGGGATGATTATGTTATGGACTTTTATTCAAAACACTAGAGCAACAAGTGCTCCTTCTTTTACTTCTGGTTTTTGAATCTTTTTCTATATTTGGATCTTTCCTATCTCCTTCTTTGTTAAAACGTAGCTCAAGCTACTAGGACTGCACCAGGTTGGTATCAGAGCACAACAATTAGTACGGATGATATTGTAGCACGACTCTGTAGAACGGTACTGTAGCACATTATTGTAGTATGGAGCTGTAGCAAGTACTGTAGCATGGTATTGTGGCATCAATTTTTGTGCCCTAGATCAACAACCATACCTCCACACGGAGGAAAAGGACGGAAAGCAACAACCCTAGAAGCATTTGTTGCTAGTTCTTTGGAAGGGATTGCAGATCTGAGGAGATTGTCAAAACGTGAACTCTGCATTTGGCGCAGATAGAAGCCCCATCTCAAGAGTATGAGATCAAGGCAGATGAGGAATCCATAGTTCCCGTCCATGATCAAGCCCCAAGGAGAGAGGTAGCTGACCATATGGATAAGGAAGTAGGTGGGAAATTGGTCTCGAGGTTGAGTTCCTAGAGTGTTATGATGAGGACAACAAGCATTCTTTGGAAGGTGATCCTGTTTTTGATGATTAAAGTGATGAAGAAGACCTGGAAATGACCTATAGTGATCATGAAGGCTTACTACCAATCTTTGATGTGTACCCTGATGAGGATTTGAGTTTGGTAGAAGAATGAATTTATTATGAAGAAGTTGGTGAACCTACCTTTGATGAAAAGAAAGAAGAAGTTCCTATCTTCAATGAAGAACATGCTATTGGCCATGAAGGTAATGGTGGTGACGGTGTTTATGATGGTGAAGATGGGGGTGATTATTCTGAGCTATTGCTTGGTTTTGAGTGGAGAGCCCCAACAACAACTCACTAAGTCCTAACAGAAAGAGCTCGGGACTACAATGCGTTCATCTTAACCCATTTTAAAGTTTGTAAGCGAGTTATCTCAGGTATGTTCATTGACGATAATACTACGCATATGTGCTATAAATGTTACAATCTAGGCGAGGAGTTTAAGGCTTTGAGTGCCTTCCAGTCCCAGTGGCTCCATCTATGCAGTGCTCTTTCCTCCGCATCACGGAAAGGTAGGAAAGGCGGACGGATTTTTTCCATGTGGACAAAACATGAACATGATGGATAAAGTTTTCATGAGAGATGCAATAATTTGGAACATATTTCTCACTTGTTTTCTTGAATTGGGTCTCGTCAAAATTGTGAAAAAGTACGTATTCCTCGTTGATGACAAACATGCGCATCTAGCACTATTGTTAATGGCAGCTAAGTATTGCCCATATTGTTGGTATGCAAATTAGTATGCTTATAGCATTCCTGCCATACATGGCCTTGTACATCAGGGATTAGAACGAGTGGAAATCTATGGACAAGATGGGTTATCTCTTGCAATGTATCGTGCACTAGAATGGGCTTTCCTTATTTGGACAAAGAAGCATGCTCTTGATAGAGGCAAAGCTGTAAATTGTGTACCATGAAAAAATGAAGCTTCTTTTTAGGAAACTTACTTTCCCTTACTAATTTCTCATTTGTATTTGCCAAGATTGACATGAAAGGGTTTCATGAGTAGGCAGTGCTGAATGTTTTCTTGATAGGTTGCGATGATGTTTTATTTGGTTCAAAACAGGTGACTGTGGTCTCTGTTGAAGACAATTCATTATAACTGGGCATTCACATACTTATGGGGTATGATGCCAAATATAAGGCAGCCGTTGACTAGCATCACCAGCATATGATTTTTGATGTTGGAGATTTTGAGTGGGCAGTCATGACTAAGGACAGATTTCCAGTAGGGGAATATCATTAGTTAAGCTAGCACATGATTGACCGTGTGAAGTGGCACAAAAGATTAATGAGATGCTTACAAATTGAAGCTTCCCTGTCATATTTGCACAATGGATGTTTTTAATGTCAAGCATCTCATTCTATATCATGGTGATACCGCCAACAACGAGCCGCCGAATTCGAGGGCAAATTATTTCAAGGAATGGGGGATTGATGCAACTCAGAATACTGTTCTCGAGTATTTGGACAAGAAATATAAGCGTAAAGTTTACAGGAGGAACCACAAAAGGGGAAATTAGTCATTGAGTCTATCCTTTTATGTCTTTTATTTATTTCTTGAGTCCTTTTATTCACTTAGTGGCATAAGTAGAAATTTTTTAGAGTCTTTATATCTTTTTATTCACTTAAAGTCTTTTGTAGTAAAGAGCCATAATGAGATTGGATGGATGGCTAGGATTAAGTCTTGTTTGGGGTTTTCTTATATAAGAGATGTACTCAAGCATAATGGATGATTATGTTATGGACTTTTATTCAAAACCCTAGAGCAGAAAGTGCTCATTTTACTTCTGGTTTTTGAATCTTTCTCTATTTCTAGATCTTCCCTATCTCCTTCTTTGCTAAAACCCTAGCTCAAGCTACTAGGTCTGCGCCAATTATTGTTGTTGTTATGTTTGGATTTATCATCTTGAGTTTGTTTTGCAAAGTCAAGGTCTTTATAATTTTTTGAGCATACAATTTGTGACTTATACTTGTTTGTGTCTCTAATTTTTTTTTGGCAAATAACATCTGAGAGATCATATATTGAATATCTCACCCATTTTTTTAGTGTAGTTTCAAATAGGCCACTAATGAGAACTTTGTTAATTGCACTTTCCTCATTTGCCCCTCGATCAAAATCAAAACCGAAGTGGTCTTCTCAAAAGTCTCTTTTTGATAATTTTGTAGGTTTAAGTTTGATGAAAACATCACTGTTACCATATTCAAACATCACTCTAGCGTTGTTTCTTCTTCCTGTCTCTCATGGCCCATTCATTTCTTGTAGCCATCGTTATTGATGTCTTGGATGCCCATCAAACTCAGTGTGGGTTCTCCTTCATCTTCTCTCTTCTCTCTCTCTCTCTCTCTCTCTATATATATATATATATAAATATATATGGAAAAAGCTCCTGTCAGCCCATGGGCTCATGGAACAGTGTAAGCCCAACGGCCCAGATTGAATCTGGACCGATCTAATAATCACAATTGTATTTCGTAATTAAATTTTATTTATTTTTCTACAAATCCAAATTACTTGAAATTTGGAGCGACTATTCTTCAAGATTAGTCGAATCTAATAAAAATATAAAAAAAAATTCGCATAATTAAATTGACCAAAATACCCTTGAAAAGTTTCGGGGGTATTTTGGTCAATTTATTTTATGTGAATTATTCTTTTAATATTTTTATTAGGTGTGCCTTGATGAGAAGAGTTGATGCTCCAAATTTCATGTTATTTGGATTTATATAAAAAATATTAAAATTATATTATCGAAATACAGCCCTAATCGTCAGATCGGCTCAGATTCAATTTGAGCCGTTGGGCTTATATTATTCCATCAGCTAGTAGGCTGACCCTAGCATCTTCCATATATATATATATATATATATATAGATAGATAGCTTAACGATCCGAGATACCTTTCCTTAGCCGTAGTAAATAGGCCTCTCTAGAAGTGGGTTGGAGGATAAAAGGAAGTGGAGAAGGGCGCTTTCCACTGTTCGCAACTTTGTTCCAAACTAGAAGTATAGCTTTGCCATCTAAGATACCTTTCCTTAGCCGTAGTAAATAGGTCTCTCTAGAAGTGGGTTGGAGGATAAAGGAGAGTGGAGACGGACCCTTTCCACAGTTCGCATCTTTGTTCCAAACTGTAAGATAGCGATGAACAGCTCATGCATATATATATGTGTGTGTGTGTGTGTGTGTGTGTGTGTGTGCGTGCGTGCGTGCGTGAGAGAGAGTGACTATTTGAAAACTAAGAACTGATGTTGAGAAACTGTTGTGTCCTTTTTGTAAGAAGCTTTGTGATATGTAGTTCAAATGGAATTCAGACATGCATAAATATTGATCAAAGAGACATTCAACCGAAATTCCTGGTCTTGGTATTGGGTTGTTGAAAATATGTAATTCGAATAGAACATGCATAAATATTGCTCAAGGAGACATTCAACCTAAATTCCTGGCCTTGATATACTCATTTAGTGGCAAACCTTGTCATTCTTAAGGATTTTGACACCTTTCCCTTTAACACGTCTCAAATAAAAAGGGTTGTCACTCCCCAGCTATGACAAACTTTGCTGAACTAAAACACAAGTCAATCAGTCAAACATTGAGATTGTGTCTGTTGGAAATGCTGTTATCATGGAGAAAAGTAACAATATCATGGCTGAAAAGTGTCTAATACTATATGTTTGGTCCATTATCGCATATTTATTTCCCCCACATAAGCATTGAAGGCTTGCAATTGATTTCACTTCATGATTTTCTCCTGGGGTATACGATTAAAATCCTGGAATCTCTTATCAGAATTGCAGTGATTTTGACTTTTTCAATCATGGTGGATGTGTAGTCCAAATTGAGTGCATTTTGAGGCAGATTATTCATGCTTGAATGCATCAATGGAAGTTGTAGATGCATCTGACAAAACTATTTTGTTCATCATTATCAGGAGAGTGGCACCACTCTTCTATGAAATTGTTACAACTAGGTTGATGTTATTTTTCTTGGGTCCTCATTTATAGGAAGTTAGGAACCATGCAATTAAGGGAAACTCTTGAAATTTAGACCTGATTCAGCCGTAACTGAAACTTTTAGGAATTGTATTCTCTAGAAAGATGGAGTCGTAATCATCCTCTTTGTAGACCGAATTTTAATTAATTACATAGACATCGACACGTGTGTCGGTGTCTATCCATGTCCAAACTGTCTATTACATAAGGAAAAATAGTCTTAAGACGCATCTGTACAATATATTACTCTTAAAGTACATATATAATAATTCATCAAAAACTTACACAACGTGATGAGCGTCTATGCCGTGGAAACCTCACCTTATCAAGAGGTCATGAGATCAACCCTTCTTGCAGCCGTTTGAAAGGGATTTTTGGTGCTTAAAAAAATAAAATAAAAGTAAAAATGTTGAATTTGGCCTGTGGAGCTTGAACCCACAACCCCTCCATGTTATATCTTATATGGTTATGCTACCACTTGGCCATTCCGATATAAGTGACATAGATAGAAGACACTTTAAAAAAAAAGGTGTACTGACACCGTACTCAGAACTGCTGATGTCATCCAACGGGTATAATGTCTGGTCATGTCGACACGCGATACTTAGGCCCTCATGGAGTGTCGAAGTAACACTGGTTTTAACTGGTCTAGAATTATGAGTGCGTAGTAATATAGTAATATATATTCACTTTGAACTTGTTAATGGTCATTGTTCTCTAGAGTGATAACCACAGACCTCAATTGGACATAAGAGGAATTTCTTTGTGGGGATAAAGGAGATTACTGGAACTACACTTTTTAGCATGCAAATGCCCCATTTTTCACTTGTTTATCTAAACGTAGATAAATTTTGGACATTTGCTTAGCACAGATTACTCTTTTTTCTCTCGTTGTACGCTTTCTCTACACGAACACAGGCAGACATGCTTATGCTCATTTACATGTGGCTCCATATACAAGATAAACTGCACAGATATTGATACTCAATGCCAATCATTGTACATGACCAACATGTGCCCATGTGCCCCACATACATAGACTTGCATTTGCACATGTGCATCTCCACGTGCATGGCACAGCTCCCATCTGCTTGTCATGCATGCATGAAAATAAAGCCGAAGGTGTGTGACTCATATACCATTTCTTGCAGTGTGTCCAACCACTCTAAAAAGAATATGCAGGCAACACGGGATCACTCGATGGCCATCCCGAAAGATCAAAAAGGTTGATCACTCGATACAGAAACTAAAGGTGGTGATGGACTCAGTTCAGGGTGCAGAAGGAACATTCGACATCAGCTCCTTTTATGCAAACTTTCCAAGGCCATATCGATCAGATTTGATGTCAGAAAAACCATCATCTAGCACCATCTTGAATACACCCAAGCATGCCAGTATCCAGGAGCCATCATGCAATACAAACACTGAAGCTATGTTCAGCAACAATGCCACCACATGCAAATCACCATCCTCCTCTTGTAGCCAGAGCTCAAGCTCAAGCCATTGCTGCTCCACCGATGCTCGAAACCAAGCCACCCAAGATAACCATGTGGTCACTAGTGGGGACGCTTCCACAGAAGATACTGAGCATGGTATCCTGAAGAGAACAAACAGTGAAGCGGCTGTGCATGCCATGACCAACCCAAAAGAGCCAAACTCTGAAAGCCCACTTGTGAGATCGCAAAGCCACAAAAGCCTCAGTGAACACAAGTCTTTCCCATCTCCATTGCCTAGAAGCGGCAGCTTAGTGGGGGAGAGTGGCTCAATCAAAGTGAAGGTAATGTATAGGAATGAGAACGTGAGGTTCAGGATATCACCAAATTGGACATTCCAAGACCTACAAGAGGAGATCCATAGGCGTTTTATGATAGAAAAATGGTGTATGGTTGATCTCAAGTATTTGGACGATGACTTGGAGTGGGTTTTGTTAACTTGCGATGACGACTTGCAAGAGTGCATCGAGGTATACAAGTCATTGTCTGGTAAAGCAATCAGGCTCTCCGTCCATGATATTGCTTCCAATGTGGCGAGCCCTTGGGGGAGCAGCGGGCCTTCGTGAATGTGTCACAAGGCCCATGTTGTATTTTAGCAAAGTTTGGGGAAAAAGAAAGTTTGTATCATTTAGCTCGGGAAACCGGTAAAAGATGGGGTAAGCAAAGGCCAACAGCCCTGAATTGTGTGAATATCTCTATGCCCATGTATAGGGATTATCGGTTGTTGATGCAGAGGTTTTACTAGATATGCTTAAAATGTAAAAATATTCGGCTATGGAGGTTATGGAAATGTTCAGTATTCCTTTCAAAGTGGGACTTTTGCTCCGCATCCTAATTGCATGGGCCTTTTTGTTTCGAGAATCTGAGCTTCAAGAGTACTGTTTATAGGAAAAAAGTCATTAAAATCATCAAAGCACTTCAAAAAATTATGAAGTTGGTCAAATCAACTGATTTATCTATAAAGTCAGCACATTCATAACTCAAGTACCTACCAAAATGTCTTATGTTCAAAGTCTAAGTCCTAGACAAGGAGGAACATTTGGATAATTGAGGCCATAAGTCCCGAACACAAGTGGTGATAAACTATCATCTTGTTTTGGATTATCATATTGGCTAAGATGTTTTATTAAAAAAAAAATATTGGCGTAGGCCCACTAGTTTACAATTATATATGAGTTCAACGGTTTAGATTTTGATTTTATTTGGGTTGATCCAATGTTCACAATTGCATTTCATATTTGAATTTTGATTTTTTTTTTTTTATAAATTTAAATCACATGAAATTTTGGGTATGAGTTATTTAAAAATAATTTGTAAAAAATAAATTGATTAAAATACTTCAAAACTTTATAGGGGTATTTTGATCAATTTATATATTGTGAATTATTTTTTAATATTTTTATTAGGTGTGCTTTGATGAGAAGAATAGACGTCTAAAATTTTATCTGATTTTGTAGAAAAAAATTAAAATTAAAATACGAAATGAGGTTGTGACTGTTAAATCGTGTCAAATTGAATCTTGACTATTAAGCTCATATGCAGCTATGAGCTTGTAGGCTTACGTCAGCATCTCCTTATTAAAAAAGCAATTGTAGTTTTTTCATTTGATTTGGCCAATATAATCTATGCCGAATAACGTGGATACCCTTATTTGCTCTAGGTTCCAAACCCAAAACAATATATTTCAATGAAAAGAATATATAGTTTTGGAGTCTCAGGGTATTTATGCTAATCAATTTGAATTGCTTAGGGAAGAAAAAATACCAAAAAAACCTAGTCTATTCGCAATAGAAATCCAATATATGAACATTTAGGGTTATCTTTAATAAAATAGTTGAGGAATTACTTGATGAAATTATAACCCACTTGTGGTACTTTGTTTTGGTGTTCCCTCTTCAACAGGAACGTTACGATCTTCAATGTTTTGATGAAACTCGGGAAAATAAAAAGAAAAAAAAAGAAAAATGAGTGTTGTGGCAAGGTTACCAAAGTTGGAGCCTATAAATGCCTCAAATTACTGCAGTCCAATATCAAATCTAGGCTGTCTATTCCAGCTCGCGATAGACCGAGTAGATCTAGAAGTTCTTTGGAGCTCCAATCTTAAAATCAACTGATATTAAAGGATTTTTTAAAAATTTAACTGACATATGATTTTTGGGGGGTAGAGCACCAATTTTGGTGATCCAGCTAGAGCACACCATCATTTTCTTCAAATAAACTATACTTTCCTGTCACCGTACACTATAACCTAGAATCACGTAATGGAGGGCAAGTCTTACTGAGATAAGTGGCGTCTCCCAGACTATGAACCTTGGTTTAAACTTTAAACCGATGTTTGAAAATCTGGATTGGTCAGGTGAACTAGCTTTTTGAAAATCCAATTTGCATCAATAAATCCAATCTAGATCGGTAATTTGGACGAGTTCTCCCATGTGAGAATCGGTTCATAAAAAATTAAAAATATATGAAAAATTAAAAATAAAATAAAATAATATAGTGTCCGTGGAAACTAGGCGATTTGGCCAGTTCATATTATTTAGCTCCCTGACAGAATCACTCAGTTCCTAACAAAAACATGCAAGTTCATAAGAACCGTACCAATTCTTGGTTCCGACAAGAAATCGGGCCGATCTGGATGGATTCCTTGTATAAATCGACGATTCCCTAACTAGACCATCATGTTTAAAAAAGCTGTTGATATATATTTAATATGCGAGCAATTTGTTTCTCTGAAAAATGTTCCCAATTTATACCGCAACAACACTGGGATTAAAACAAAGAAATCTACCGCAACAACACTGGGATTAAAACAAAGAAATCTACTCCATTGCCTTTTCCCAGAGATGGAAGGCAGAGATTCAAGTTGAATCCCTAATAACATATATTCATTCACTTACGGTTTATCTCCACTGTCTGTGACCAAGAACAATGGATGTCCCATTGTGTAACATGTATCACATCGTTGGTGTGTATGCTACACTTTTCTGAGGTAACACTTTGATTTATGCATTTCTACAGATGATATAACAGGAATAACGTTGCATTTAACAGGAATAACAGGTATTATCATAATAACCTATACCCATGACGTTATATAAAAGTAGCAGATGGGGGAGGACAATTTCAATCTGTCAAAATACTTACTTGGGAGGACTATTTCAATCTGAAAATTTGGGAACCACGTAAGAATCACTTGATGATTATTTTAAAAAGGTACAAAAATTTAATTTTGAGTTTTTTACACTAAGGTCTCACCTTTTAAAAAAATGGAAGGTCTTTGTTCAGTTTTGAGACATTTTTTTTTTTCTAGTACATAGATTGTTTATTTCATAATTTTTTTTTTACTGAAGTTAAGTCTATGTTTTTGAAGATGTTACATCTCCAAAACTTGTAGTCTTAAAATAACTCTTATATTGGGTTTTACCTAAGGAGTATGTAGATAGTATACTCATGTGGAAGTATTAAATCACTTGGTTTGGTTGAAAAAAAATAAATTCACGTAGCAAATTCAGTAATTAACAATTCCACGCAACTGAAACATAGCAATATTTTGAAATTAAGAAATACTGACGAATATTTTACAATTAAAAAGCTCTTAATCTTAAAAGAATACAAAATATTTTTTCCCCATGATTCTAAAAGTATACTGCAAGGTTTATTTATAGCCCCATCCCACCTTCTTACTCTTGCCCGTTGTGGGATTAAGCAACAGGCAATTTCAAAAAGGGAGCATTGGAGAATTATCTTGACAAAAAAAATTATCTCTATTGCTTTTTTTTTTTTCGAACGGTAATTATCTCCAATGTAAAGCACTGGAGAATTATCTCCAATGCTTTCTACCGTGTTCATGAGACGTTATGGAAATTTCAAAAAGGGTAAGCTCAAGTCATCTGTCATCCACATTTTTCCATTGATAGAAGAAATACAAATGCAGAAGTTATCACGAAGCATTGTGAAAAAATGGCAGAAGTTATCACGAAGCATTGTGAACAAATTGCATAATATTCAAAAGAAATATGTTAAGGCATAAAATCGATGACTTAATATAATATTATTTAGAATTACTTCTTTTACTTAGGCAAAAAAAAAAAACTTTTGCTTATTGTAACCCATGGTATAAAGGAGAGGTTTTTTTAAGGTGTAATTTTTTTACTTCTTTTTAAGGAGTCCGCAGAAATAAGGTGCATCTCTAAATTTTACTTATAGATATAGTTCTGCTATTGAAAAATTTTAAGATGACTTGAAAATTTATTTTAAATCTTAATCATTAAATTTAAAATTATAAAATAATAAAATAATATAGATCGAGCATATTTATAAATACTTGACGATCTTGAAATCCTTCGTCACTCTCTCTCTCTCCCTTCCTCCCCTCAGTTTTGTCAAGGTTTGGGAAATTTGGACAATAAAACCACAATTGTCATTGTATATAAAATAAAGAGACAATCACCTAGATTTTCTTATTTTTCCTTTAAAACCAAACAATTATAAACTCAATCTTTTGCCACCATATCATTACTTCAAAATTAAAATGTCATATAACCACCACAAAACATCAATATCTTTCTTATCACATCACAAACAACATCAAATACACAAAAACTAAGAGCGAATAAAACAATAGTAAAAAAAAAAAAGTAAATAAAAATTTTTCAAAATTAAAAGGATGAATAAGATATCTCTTTCAAAACTCAAAACTCATAAGTTGATACAAAATTAAAAATTAAATTGAGTTAAAGAGATCCATTTTATTACCATGAGTTGCATTTTAAATTTGTTTTGATTATAAAATGAATTTAATAGGCAACAAATACTCAAATATGAACCATGCTCTCAGTATTTTCATATTTTTGACATAATAATGGAAAACTATAATGTAATTACTGCTATTTTTTAGATATCTAAAAAGGTAGATTTTAAAAAAATTCTAGTATTTTTTTTTAAAAAAATTTAGGCCAAAACCGGCCCATTCTTCTACCTAGATCATTGACCTACCAATCCAAAGTGGTTTTTGGGATGGTCGATCAGGGTCACCGATCTATTTTTTAAACCATAGTAAATTGTGCAACCTGTTTAGGTTTGAGTCATTGGTTCTCCTGATATATCTGGCCAATTCTGTCAGAGAATCGGCCGGCCCGTAGGGGGACCCAACCATATCCTAATATTTTTCAAAATCTGGATGGTCCGACCGATTCCTAATCTGGATAGGCCAATTCCGATCTAGATTGCTAATTTTTAAATCTTGGATTTGAGGGTTTTTCAACATCAAAACCTCTTTATTAAATTTGTGAGGTGCATTTTAATTTGATTGTTGTGGGCCTCAATCTTATATTTAACTTTTTCCCTTTTATTTTTCTTCTGATTTTTATTATTCCTTAACTTTCCCCCGCATTTCATTCCTAGCTTTGGAGTTTTGTTAGGCTACTTGTATATATGGTGTATCTATTTAATGTGCTCAATAGTTTTAGACACTTATACCTTTATCCTATAATGTAATAACTTTGGTCTAAGGGTATTTTACATAACTAAGTCAAAGGTAAAGTAAAAATTCTAAATAGAAACAAAAACATTTATTAACTAATGTGATGTGTGACATCACCCAAATAAAACATTAATTCTTTTTTAACCATTAATAATAGAATATTAATAGTTTTTTTAAAAAATATACCCTACCCCTCCTAATGATAAAACTCCTAATGATAAAAAATGCAATTGCTCAAAAAATTTTGTTCACAAATCGAGGGCATCTAAGTAGTACATTGAGTATATGTAGGAGTAGCCTAACAACCCTTTTACAAAATGGCTTCGTATACTTATCTAAACTATATATTATGTACAATACATATATTATTTAAGAGATTGTACAATACAAGTTTGGCGCAAAGAAGTCTTAATAACCTCAAAATCGCCATTAGTTGTTCAGCATAAGGCCTATCACATAACAAGAAATTTTATTTAAACTTGGAGCGCGGTCAATAGCACATCCCGAGCGCTCGATCTAAAATCCATCTGGAAATTGTGATTGTAACTTCTTTCTACCACAAATAATGGTTTTCTTGTTCTAAACTATTTTAATATTTATACACTGGTGGACCTCCAAAATCTTTGATGGAGATCAAGATTTTGGTGATTTAAAATTTTAATTTTATTTTTTTTATTTTCATGGGTGTGGATGTACATTTTATATTTTAATTAGGGTTATTTTTTAGAAATTATAATATGGGGTTAATCTCTAGCACTTAGTTTTCATTTTTTATTTTTTTTATTTTTTAACTATTTACTAATTATTATGGGTGTTGTTCACATATACTATTCAGAGCATTGTTCATGGATTTTAAGCACATGGGTATTTCTGAAACTTTCCATATCAAATTGATATCAGAGCTCGGTTCATAAAGTGGTTACAGATTTTAATGCCTAATCATGGAGGTCTTAGCTGCAAGGATGTTGCGTTGATCCGAATGTATAAGGAAATCAACAACTTGATGGAGAATGTTAAAAAGCTCTTGTGTACGCGATACTAGTACAACGTGCTCTAAACAAATAAGAATTTAAATGGATAAATCCAAATCGTGACGATTTTTATGGAGATTGAGCGATAATTAGAGTTGAGTTTTGAGTGGAAGCGAACTGATGATGAGTCAAGTTATGTAGATGTCTTGATGCGTTAGGGCATTGAAAGACAAATCTGAGTCAAGTTAAGTAGATGTCTTGATGCGCTAGGGCATTGAACAACAAATCTAGTTTTCAACTAGATTCAATATTCTTTGAATCAACGGATGGCCCAGTCTTTCATAGAGCTTGCATCTTTGATAATGATCTTACTTTTGATAAAGTGCCAAGTGACCATTGGCAGTCCTATTTTTGGTGAACCAATGGATGAAGATGAATATGGAGATCCTGTCTATGATGAAGAACAAGATGCATGAGATAGCAATGATAGGAATAGTGGCGAAGTAAAAGAGGAGGCAATTGGGGTAGTGACCATAAAAAACTTTCTTTTCTCACTAGCTGACTCTTACTGCACCCAATTTGAAGATTTTACCCCACAATTGCATGTTATCATAGTTGGCTGCAACAAACACAACTTGTTTGAGAATAGTTTCAAAGCTATTTTGATCAAGCTTATAACGCATAATCAAGCCCCAACATCAATGCACAATTTTCGGGTTAAGAAAGAACTTGTGCTTAAAAAAGTATTCGCATTAACCCATTTCAAAATTTGATGGCTGAATTCTCTCAAAACGGGAAGAATAATGGAGATCGAGAGCTGAGAGATTCAAAAATTGAATTTTAGTTTTTTTTTTTCAAGAATGTGGTTGTTCATTTTATATCTTTATTTCGGTTAAATTTTTAAAAATTATAATGTGAGATTAGTCTCTAATACTTAATTTTTGTTGTTCTCTTTTTATTGTTCCCTAGTTACTATTCATGATTATCGTTCACAGATATTATACATAGGTGGTTCTCATGGCTCCAGTTCGCATTGGTACTTTGAAATTTTTAATTTTGTTTAAAGGTATTTTTAAAATCTTAAATTGTGTATGCGGATCTCAAGATGATCTAGAGTTTGATAAGATTATAAGAAAGTAAAAAATAAAACATCACATTATAAGACGCTTATGTTGTTAATAGATCATATTTTATTAAAATAAATTTTATTTTATGAAACTTCTTTCGACTTAATTTACATTTATATTCGCTTAATTTACACCTACATATTTCTTTCTGTTTTTGTTAATTTTAATTGTTCGAAGTTTTTTAAAACTATATACAGATTTAATTTCCACCTTTTTTTTTTCCTGCATCATTTGGCTGGTTACACTTCACAGCAAACAAGCTCGATGGTAAACACGAAGCCGCAACTATTTTTGGGTTGGAATCTCAATATAACTTTTTTGCATTATTTCGGTCTCGAATTGCAATATAACATGAACCCTCAACTATAAGATTATACAAATGTCCAAAAGAAAAAAAAAAAAAAACCGGAACAAAACAGAAACAAAACCGTGCCAACCCCTCGACAAATAAACTATTCCCAAGACAAATGCATCCAAAGCATCGTGGAGGAGGTTCCCCACCACCAACCAAACAAGTGTAAAGTGGAATATTTGGGTGCAAACAAAAGCCCTAAGCCATGTATTTAGTTGAGACAATTCTAGACAACATTAAACTACTGTAAATTCTGACATTAAAAAAACCCTCGTATGTAAACTATTGACCATAAAGTAATCAAGAAAGCACACCTGCAACCACCATGGATTAATGGTTTAATGAGCTGGAATGGCCCCTGCAAGCAGACAAGAATAGGAGTATCTTATAATTTTTATTTACTTTATTAATCAAATAATTGGTTTCAATCCCTAACCTTGGGCTTGGGGGACCACTAAATTGTTACTGGATAAAACCCAAATATGGAAGCTAGGTTAATACAGCACAGAACCAAAGATTGGTGATAACCGAAATATGGCATCTAGAATCTGAAGTATTGGAGATATGCGTTACTCACCAAATTGCAATATAAGAAAGGATAGAGGCTAAGTATATCACAATCCAATGGAATATTTTGATATGTACTCATGGACCACCCATCCTGGTGATGGACAGTCCAGATAAATGATCATAGGAACCACGGGGACAATCACTGTCATCACAGGGAATGGAAGGTGAATGTCCCTTAGGAGTACCATATACCCTATTCCATCGGATTATGGTATATAATTCCTGAAATTAAAAGCACCAGGGGAAACCAACACTGAATGAACATGAACATGAATACAGTTCCTTTTCATTTATTCCTAATGTTATTTAAATTACAGGACAAAGATTATCTAGTTTCACTGAGAATTTCCTTGAGATGAGCAACATTCTAAGAGAATGGTACACTTTCTATGTGGAAGGACTGGGAGCATCTTGTCGCCTGGGCTCAATGAACTTGCACCTTGATGGTGGACCGCATAAACTCAACACCACCTGCACCCCCAACATATATTGTCAAGGCATATTTTCACGAATGCTAAAAAATCTTAAAATTAGGAATGAATTTTATGTTGGATGATCTGAATCTTACAGGCAGAAAGACCAATCCATGCAAGAAACCAATGACGACTAGAGCTAGAAACATTTGAAAGTAATAAACCTGCAATACCAGTCGTCAAAAACTCAGAAGAAAATTATTAGGCATGAGAAACCTGCAATACCAGTCGTCAAAAACTCAAAAGAAATTTATAAGGCATGAGAGAGAGAGAGAGAGAGAGAGAGAGAGAGAGAGAGAGACGACAACAACTACGTCGGAGACGGAACAAACGACGAAGAACGACTACACCTACCAACCGAGTCGTTTAGGTAGGTAACGGGTAACTACCCACGTAGACTAAGTAC